GGTCTGTGAACAAGCGCCATTTTAAGTTCAAACGATTTATCGCCAACGATCACCGGCGAAGGAGAACAAATGACGCACGAATCGTTCGAGCTCTGGCAGTCATCGTATACACACGGTGATCACTGAATTTCCTTTAATAAATAAAATAATAAAATACCACATTTACTTACGATATTTGCTTGAAAAATATGACTTCGACAACACGATTTTAGACAATCTAGCAAATGTTCGGCTTGTTGTATATAAGAGATCATGTGACTAGTCATGTGACTGGTCAGCTGACTACATGACATTGCCTTTTATTTGTCTTTCAGAGAATTCTACTAGAACAACGATACGTAGTTTATCCATTTTCAACCAACGATATGTTTACCAAAAACATTTCAATGGGTGTCGCTGATAAACTGTTAATTGTTTCTCGAAATACAAGTAACGTTTGTTAACAACGCTCAGTCACCTGACCAATATGGTGATAATGACGTCATCAAAGTTGTCTTTTTATAGTTCCCGCATAGTTTCACATGAGGGCGTTATCGCCAGCAAGTTGTACATTTGTTTTGATACAGGGGAAACAGGAAAGGATATGTTTATGCATATAAATATTAGTTTTAGGCCATTCCCACGTTTTGGGTTTCAAAACAACTTGCATAAATTACGAATTTTAGTTTAAACCAAGAAAAAAATATAAACCATGCCAAAGACAGTGTCCCTCCCGGTTTGCAAAATTGTCTTGATAAATTTTCCATATACAATGTACACAACAAAATGGCAACTAACAGTTAATACGGAAAAATATATTATAAATCATACAGACTCCTAAAAAAATTAAATTTTATACTTTGAAGGAAAGGAACTTGACACTGAAAGCAAATTTAAGAAATTGAATGAGACCCAGATTTTGTGGCTGCTTATATTCAAACCAGTATTTCACAGTGAAGATGTCATTCGAATACCTACATGTTATATATTTTTAGTTAACGCTGTGAGTGAATTGTGTGAAAAAAATGAATTCTTTCATTGATCCGTCGTCTGTCAGACGTCTCAGAAAGTATTGCTCGAAGTGCCAAAATGAAACGCTCGCGAAAACGGCAAATTTGCATAAAATTAATTTCTCGTCTTCCTACTCACCTGGAAAGCAACATGTATTTGAAACGATTATTTGTTATGATAATTTGCTTGGAAATTACTCGTATCTTTGACATCCTAGTCTACAAAAATCATCATACTGCGACTGATATTTTAGGGAAATGCAAAGAAGTTTCGGAACCACCCGGTAAAATTGTGTCACTTGTTCACCGAGTAAACATGGAAGGAACAACGATTTAACGAATTGTAATCTTTTTCGTCCCTTCTGAGGATTGTTGTGTGTTAATAAAATTATTATATTGTAAAGTTTGACTGAAATATAAACGATACAATACATTGAAAGATTAATGATATTTTTATTATGTTTAACGAAATATTTGTATTTTAACAAATGAAAAAAGTGTAGTTTTTCAAAAGTTTACAAAAGGTTACAATTATTGACAACTGTCAGTGACGCAAGTCTCTGTTGTACGTGTATAATTTAGGTTAAGTATGACGAAACTTTATCAAACCAGACGGCTATATTAACAATAAAATAATAATTATATTAATACTCTAGTTTTATCAGCGTACAATATTGATTTGCACTCCAAGTTAGACCAAACTTTATCACCATTGATGATATATTGACGACCTGATATGTGAAAAAAACATTGGATACTAGTAAATCAGATTTATTTGAAAGTTTTGGCTTTCTTAAATATTCATGTGGCATGTGATTAGTCAAAGTTTAACCAAACTTGATGAAACTTTACATTAATCTCTGGTTTATTTCAAATACAAATCATCCGATGTATACAAGACTTATTGGATAGTTTCGGTAACGTTCACGTGGTAAGTCAATGTTTTATGAAACTTGGTTGAACTTGACGCCAGTTTCTGTGTTTTCGTAAAACCATAAGTGGATATACAGTTATACACGATTTATTTTTAAAAACATTAATATTCATGTGGCATGAAGATAAGCAAAAGTTTGGGGAAATTTGATTCCTAAAACATGGAGATACCCTGTAACTAAGTAATACATAGAGATACCCTGAAACCTAGTATTACATAGAGATACCCTAAAACTAAGTATTACATAGAGATACCCTAAAACTAAGTATTACATAGAGATACCCTAAAACTAAGTATTACACGGAGATACCCTAAAACTAAGTATTACACGGAGATACCCTAAAACTAAGTATTACACGGAGATACCCTAAAACTAAGTATTACACGGAGATACCCTAAAACTAAGTATTACACGGAGATACCCTAAAACTAAGTATTACACGGAGATACCCTAAAACTAAGTATTACACGGAGATACCCTGTAACTAAGTATTACACGGAGATACCCTGTAACTAAGTATTGCATAGATACCCTGTAACTAAGTATTGCATAGATACCCTGTAACTTAGTATTACATAGATACCCTGTAACTAAGTATTACATAGAGAAACCCTGAAACTAAGTAATACATAGAGATACCCTGTAACTAAGTATTACATAGAGATACCCTGTAACTAAGTATTACACGGAGGTACCCTGAAACTAAGTATTACACGGAGGTACCCTGAAACTAAGTATTACACGGAGTACCCTGAAACTAAGTATTACACGGAGATACCCTGAAACTAAGTATTACACGGAGATACCCTGAAACTAAGTATTACACGGAGATACCCTGAAACTAAGTATTACACGGAGATACCCTGAAATTAAGTATTACACGGAGATACCCTGAAACTAAGTATTACACGGAGATACCCTGAAACTAAGTATTACACGGAGATACCCTGAAACTAAGTATTGCACGGAGATACCCTGAAACTAAGTATTGCACGGAGATACCCTGAAACTAAGTATTGCACGGAGATACCCTGAAACTAAGTATTGCACGGAGATACCCTGAAACTAAGTATTGCACGGAGATACCCTGAAACTAAGTATTGCACGGAGATACCCTGAAACTAAGTATTGCACGGAGATACCCTGAAACTAAGTATTGCACGGAGATACCCTGAAACTAAGTATTGCACGGAGATACCCTGAAACTAAGTATTGCACGGAGATACCCTGAAACTAAGTATTGCACGGAGATACCCTGAAACTAAGTATTGCACGGAGATACCCTGAAACTAAGTATTGCACGGAGATATCCCTAACCTAAGTACATTTGTATGGCACCCTAAGTTCTCCATAATTCTGCCCGTGGTACTTCATAAAATATATAAAAAAAAACGGCCATAATTAAGATCTTATTTTAATCAAATTGAAGTATCGACACATATTTTCATTGCACGTCATGTAGCTTTAAATTTTATGTCCAATCCAAATATGATCAATCTTGGTGCAACAATGTTTGTAAACAGAGCCATAAATATACCTGGAATGCAAACCATATGGTAGAATATTTTGCCAACATGTAACTACAAAAATCTGTTAAAACTTAACCCCTTAAAAGGCAGTGGTTGTCACGCAGAACATGTTCAAATTTCACGTAAACAAAAAAAGTATTTTACCCGCATTGTGTACGTCGCTATGAGCCGCATATTGAAAATGATTGAGAGTAGGACAAAATGTCTCCCAGGCATGATAACATGCTACCGGTATACTTTTAATGTTTCAAGTTAGGTTATTGAAATTTAGACATACACTCCAGGAAAAGGTAAAATCAACCAAACGGACTTTCAGCAAAATATTTTTTTTTTCAATCAAATATTAATCACTGGAGTCGAGAGTACCAACAAGACATTCACAATATATAATTTTTTTATTGTCACACTTAAAAAAAAAAAAATTGTCAATTACGGCAGCACAAAATAAAACATTGTTTTGAAAAATACATTTCATGAATTCTTCTAATATATACAGAAAATAACTAACACAAAATGAATTTTTTGTTGGAATGCATAAAATTAAAAAGTGTCTATTTTTACATGTAATGGTAAAATTGACTTTCCAGGAAATTCTAGCTTTTTTTGGGACAGAAAAATTGTAAAGTTACTGTAAAGTGCTCAATTTTGACTGCAGAATTTCGTGGAATTCACCAACACTGTTGTAGGAGCCAAGCGAAATTTTCACTCACTCAAAAAAAAGCACTTGTCCATGGTTTACATTTTAAGAGCTGAAATGAATAGATCTTAATTCAAATAAGAACAGTATATAGTTATAGGGTGTTAACAATTCTAAAAATACTATTATTTAGTTGGGATCGAAAAAAAAAATGGTCAGTGCACATTTTTTTTTTTTAAATGGAAACAAAAGAATTTCATGAAAGAAGATAAGATAGTTCACAGCACATCTCAATAGCAGAAATAAAACTTCTTTTGAAGGCTTATTGATGTAAAAACATGATTATTTTTTTTTAAATACAGTTGGACTAAATTAAATTGTGGAAAACATTTATAAGGATTAGTTTCTATGTTTCGTTTTGTGATGTCACATTTATTAAATCATGTAACAGGAAGTGATGTGAAAATTTAATAGAAAAACTCTAAAATATTCAAACAACAGAACTGTTAACAAAATCAAAGTGTTATGAACTGTGTAAATCAACACTATGTAAATAAATAAATGTTTAAATAATAAAACATTGCCAATAATATATATTAACCATTCAAACAGGGTAACACTGAATAAACTATGGCGAGAAATATATACGAAACGAATGAATTCTCACTGAAAGTTCAGTGGTTATGTAATTCGTACATATACATAGACTTCACATAGTCTGTAAGCAATTCAAAATCACCATGATCTGGCAAGCTATTCTTTTGGTAATCAGGCATCTTAAGGTAAAACACTAAGATGTTGCACCAAAACATATGGCACAAAAGATAGTCTGCGGCACCACTTTGTTCATGTGAATAAATAAACTTTAGGCACCGTGGTATGTATAGGCAAGTTATACATGGGGGGGGGGGGGGGTATTCCATGTTATAGCTATTTTTAGCTAAAATCACGTTTCCATTGATTGTATAGCTTCTGCCAGCAGTAGCTTTTCTTTCCTGACCTTCTGTGTATATTCAGATGTTGTCATTACCAATTCACTAATGTAGGGAGAAAAAAAATGAGAAAACTGAGTCATTATAGCTTTGTTTGGTCATATTCCCCCATACTCAGAGGTGACTGTATTTTTCCTATTTTTGTGTCATTTTCAATTTACTGCACTTCTCCCAATATTGTAAAGAGTTAATTAACCCTTTGAACGCCATTGTATACTTTTGTAATTATTTACAAAACAAACCTACATGAGTATTTTCATATTTTTCAAAAATCAGAATTTATGTATACTCGGTACCAAAATTTAAAACAAAATTTGTGTCAAAATCTTTAACTTTTATGGCATTCAAGAAGTTCAAAGTCAATTCATGAATATTTTTCAAAAATCCAAATGATCACTAATATCACATAAAATATAGAGCCGAGAAAGGCAAATCACTGTTTTTTTTATTTCAATTTGTAAACCATAAAAGTTCTAATCTCCAAATGTCACCAAAGAAGGAATTCATCAACTTTTACAAATTACATAGCCTGACAATTTTAACATGATGTCCAACCTCTGCTATTGATAATCACCACAGAGCTAGAGGATTACAACACATTAAAAACACCAAGCTAGGGGGTTAATTGGGAAATATTATTTATACATGGATTTCCAATAAGTAATGAGGAATATTAGTTGCATTGGAGATGGGAATAGCATATTGGCATTTGCTGTCATGGTCATATTGATGGTCAAAGACATTTTTTTTTTTAATAAATGATACTAAGCACAAATTTAATCTACTAAGAATGATTACTACACAGCTGATAACTAAGCATGAAATCATGAATTATGGCAGCGAGGAAACATGAACACTGTCGGCCAACCAAGTTTATTTTTATTATACACATTTTCCATCAGCAAAGTATAAAAGATCCACTTTTGTATGTACATGTACTTTCTTAATTTTAATTTTTTTTATTTAGATTCGAAAAATGATTTCACAAAAGCAAACAATATGTAGCATGGTTTTTCTTAATGATTTTATATCAATATTAATAAATCAAATTAATATATTTTTGCTAAAGCATCTAGTAGTTATTGTCAATAACTTCTGGGGGATGAAGATGTTATATTGCACAGCATTCGAATTTTGTGCAGTGAATGGACAATACGCAGTCACATGGAAATAAACATTTTTGCAATATCTCGTGCAGGAAGATAGTACTTTCAACTACCAACCAGTGATGTGTTGTGAATGCGTTGACAAGATTTTCCAAAACGGTGGCATTTTAAAAAGTAGATTATGAGTTTCCATATTTTGCATTTTTGTCCATATCTCTGAATAAGCCATGTTTATACATCCACAGTTTCTACACAGGTTTACATGAAATCGATTGCTGTAGTTGACTATATTGATACAAGATTTTCTTAAATATATGCGCATATTAATATTACACATATTGGAAACGCATGTTGCTTTGCGTGTTTTCAATCAAACTTTTTAAATAATTTGTATTTATCTGACTAGCGTGTATCATTGCTTGTGTGCGCATGAATGCGGCGTGCTATAAAACACATATTGACTGTTATTATCTAGGCAATAAAGTACATTTATTTATCCCTCATCATTTTGAGTCACTCGGAGCGCAACTTATGTCCGTAGGCTATGGAAATTAACACTGCATTGTGGGTTACTCAAAATCCCTTGAGATAAATAGATATATGCTATCGATCTCATGATCAGTCAATATGTATTCAATATTTATCCGTTGTCTATAGCCACCAAGCTAGATAGGCTGGTGTCTTAGACTCCCTAAGTTGTCATTAGTATGGTTGTCCCCCACTTCTTACCCAGTTGTTACTTCAGCTGGTTTAAAACATTTCATCACATGACAGCATATATTTTGTACACGACATGAACAAATTATGCATTGCGAATCATTTTGCATGTTTGATAGAACTTTAAAGTATGGATCGATACTTAATTAGCAGGTTGTTAGGACATCTTCAAGACCAATACGCCATTCACATCATCAATACACTACATTAAATTTAACAAAGCTTCACTGCAACATATCACGTTTTTTACACAAATAAGCAGCTGCAACAACGGCAGTTAACCTGGGAATTTAAAACTAGTGTGCTAGGGGTTCACTACTATACATTAACGTATTTAGGATATATTACACCACTATTACTGTTACATAGGTATAGGTACAATTACTGGCATCTATAGCAACAATGCTTAGCCACCAATTAATATACAGACAGGAAATTACAAGCATAAAAATTAAAATTTGTTAAACTGGATTTTAAAAGCATTGTAATAAGTCACATCTACACTGGAGGTTTTATATATATTCTGCGGAACACCACGTCCAATGGTGTTCATTGTATTTACAGTTTACCCAATATGTTTACAGGAAATTAAGGGAAAAGGAGTTTGGATCTTATAAGAGGTACAGAAGGTAAAGGAGGGAAAAAGATAAACACGACATGCCTTATCAGGCTTGTTGTTGTAAGCAGCCTGGATGTGATTAAGGGGAAAAAAAGAAATGTGACGTTAGTAGTGCGGTTTTGACATTTGTAAGGTGTGTGCGGTTTTTGGCTGGAGTGGTGACGGACTTTAAACAGTATAAGTGCATTTATCCACACGTGACGTGAATGATGGCATTGGCACCTGTTCACCATTCTAAATGCACCAACACTGCTTCACATTACAGTATTCATAGACATGCTACATTTAAACATTTCAATTATTTTTTTTTTTTGTCTACTGATAAATTCCCTAGTTCAGAAAATGCAACATGTCTGCTTTTACACCAAAATGTATAAACTTTGATGTTCAGAAAACAACAGAGTTGATGCAACAGGCGAAATCATGTTGAGCCGCCATTTTTAAACCTTATAGCATACATGCTTTGTAGATATTAGCTCATCAATTATAGGTGGTTTGAACATACAGTAATTAATGGTGTACCTAAAGGTGATTTATTAATTAGTGTAAGGACCCCTTAGGTTAGTAAAGCTTTCATTGCGATTTCCCTAGGTGCTGGGGTATTCACAGTCTATCCACAAGTTGGTAATTTTTGTCACTAAAGGCCATTTAGGCTCAGTGAAAAAATAAATGCTGTGAACCCCTTAGGTTAGTGATTTGTTTGCACCCACCTTTTCCTTGACATAGCCCAGGTATAATTCACTGAAATTGGCATGATGAAGTGAGAGATACATAAAGATGAGATCAGATCAGCATGCAAAAAACGATAGCAGTGAAACACACACAAAAAAACATGAGATAAAGGTATTGACCAACATGCTATGGCCACACACAAGATAAATACAGCAAGACACAATGAGGCAAGGCATACAATGATAATGATTCAATGTCTCAATGAAGATATGATCATGTTATATGGTCCATACATCTATTCTGAAGAGTGAATCCCTGTCAGTTCCCATCTCCTTCGAAGTATTATTGAGGCAAGAAACACATGATAAATGGATGGATGTATGTATGTATGATAAAATGTCAACATTAATAATGAAACACTGTCTTGACAAAAAACATTTTAAAAGCGAGTTTACCCCAAGTGTGTGGAAACCTTCACACGAACACCATAAGAGTGACGACACTACAAATGTAGAATGATTCCCAAGTGTGCGTAGAGCTGTGTGAATGTGTGCATTTATTATCCAACTCAAACCTAGTTATACCGGATATACCCACCAATAACTCAAAACCTGTGCTTATATATTGTTAGTTTTTATAACAGACATAACTGGTTATAGGAGAAAATTACAGATGTCACAGCACAGACTACCTTACCTGGCTGCCATAACATAAAAAAATTTCACTGATTTGGAAAATGGAAGGAAAGAAAAGGGAACGTGATAAGTTACTATATAGGATAACCAGGATGAAATGTTCTGAAGACGCAGCATATTCGAAGGTTACGTTGTCCTGGTCATACTACTACTGGTGTGCGAATTGAAAGGATGCAATATATTCTACGGTACTTTCAGTGAGGAACATGCACAGGAATAGACTAGACTTTGTAACAGCAAGGTGATGAAGTTTAATGTATCACTGTGAGTTTAACTCTGGTGATCAGATCTTTGGTTTTTTTTTCTGTTTTTGTCTGTACTGTATGAAAAATATTTTATAACTGATCATATGTTGGTCAATATTTGCTGCATTTTTTATTTATTCTTGAGATTAAAAATTTTTGAAAAATAGGCACAAAATCAATCTCAACAGTAGGTGTGAAAATGACTGCTTCAATATTTTCAGGCCACCATATTAGATGGAATGATACGAAATAGAACAAAATGTGCACCTAAATTGCTGTAAACCTACAAATCAAATTCACTTTTTATACTAGCATTTTGGTTTGAATTTCAAAAAAACACTTGCCATTACAAAGTCTCTGGGATTTATTTTGTTCCTAATATATATCATTCTGTAACAGAAAGATAGCATGCAATTATACGGTAATCACTACATGTGCAAGTCAAGGGTAATTACAGATTATATAGATTACATGCAAGATATGGCTACCGTTATTTCGTCTATCAGTAGCAAATGAATGAATGAGTTAAGATTAAAAGTTGCAACTTGTACTTTTTTCGGCAGAGCAGTACTTCAGAAAATACGGTAACATCAAAAATAAAAAGACTATAAAATGGGCTGAAAAGAATGCGATGATTACAACATATTTTAACATCAGTGATTTTACATTTTTATAATAAGAAGAATAAGGGGATGATTTCTGTCAAGACAACATTTCTCAATATAAGGGTTTGGCAAATGATGCTACATGTACATGCATATGTGTGTGTCAATAAAACTACATGGTGTGTATGGTATCTCAATTGTGGAGGTGAAATGACCTATATGCCCAAAGACTACAACATCGATGCTTTGGTACACCAAGATCCCATGGAAACCCCCAATGTACCCAAACAATGATTTACTACACCAAGATCTCATGGAAACCCCCAATGTACCCAATCAATGATTTACAACACCAAGATCCCATGGAAACCCCCAATGTAGCTAATCAATGCTTTGGTACACCAAGATCCCATGGAAACTCCCAATGTACCCAATTAATGCTTTGGTACACCAAGATTCCATGGAAACCCCCAATGAACCCAATCAATGCTTTGGTACACCAAGATCCCATGGAAACCCCCAATGTACCTAATCAATGCGTTGGTACACCAAGATCCCATGGAAACCCCCAATGTACCTAATCAATGCTTTGGTACACCAAGATCCCATGGAAACCCCCAGTGTTCTCAATCAATGATGTACTACACCAAGATCCCACTGAAATCCCTTATGTTCAACATTCATGTTTTGCTACACCGAGATTCCATTGAAACCCCCTATGTGCAACAACAATAATTTGCTTCACCAAGATCCCACTGAAACCCCCTATGTTTGCTACAAAAACCCTCTGTGCGATACCGATGCTTTGCTACAAAAGATCCCATTAAAAACCCCTATGTGCGATACCAATGCTTCGCTACACCAAGATTCCATTGAAACCCCCTATGCGTGACATCTTAATATTAATTAAGTTTACTCTCCCATGTACCCACAAAACTAGTGATTATATACTGGGAGTACTGATTATATAGTACTGTGGAGATTGCCCTAACTTACATCACCTCTGTAAGGAAAAAAAAAATCATTTTACCGGTGCTGACATTTCGTGCTTTATTGTCAATAGTTTTATGTTCTTTTCAGCATAGGGGATGATTATTCTCTAAAATACATGTATGTCTAATTAAAGTTAGTCTACAATATCATTACTACAGTAATGATATTGATTTAGTTATTTGTTTGTGTAAGAAGTGTATTAATGAGCATCAACATCATTTAAAAAAAAAAAATGCATCAAAACTGGCCAATCCAGGAATGACATACACTAAGAAAACAAAATTTCTGAAATTGGTATCACTTGAAGAACCACGACTGTTTCAACTTTTTCAGTTTTGTTTCAAAAGTTTTTAATTATTCCTGGATTGGTTCAGACAAGTTAAATAAATTGAAAAGCAGTGATCGCCGTACAGCTTGGGTTCAAATTTCGAGTAAATAATATATTTCTCATGCGTTGAGTACATCGCATGGGATATAATATTGAACACAATGCGGTACGACGACCACTGTCTTTTAATACATGCAACTTTTGTGTTTGCATCAAACAAGCACCAACAGCATTTAAATATATATTACACATATTGTTATCATGTAATGGTATATCAGCACAACCATGGACCAATTAGTTGATATCGATACTTACCCCTAAAAACACCATTACATGTATATATACATATTACTTTTACACACAACTATATGTACTAAGTGCTCTAACATGCATTATTGAAATCTAGCAGCAGTCACATGCAATATACTACTCTACTGTAAACATCAATATTATACACTGGATAGAAAGCAACCTGAGGTCATTATTCTGGATATCGCCCTGGGGGTTTTAACCAAAATTAATAGCATTATGCAAATGATGTACGACTCACAGAGCAGCATTTTGATGATAATGCCCTCAGGATCAACACAAATTTGTGGTCTTTATCCTGGAGACTATGATAATATCGATACCAATATATGCAAATGAATATTTTATAAGTTACAGGGCAATATGGATAATGATAATGCCCTCAGGTTCGGCAATCACCAATTCAGCTGCAGGACTGACATTTCAAACTATGCTTGAGATAAAAACACCATTTAGCAACCCACCACTTTTAAGCTTATTGGAGTGTAAAAGATATATAACATTGTGCAATGGTATCTAAGCGTACTACTACTATGAGTGTCCATCTAATCAGGGGAAGGTGGGATTGCTATACATACCAACCGCAGTGTAATAAGTCTGTTGTAGCGTCGTGCACGTTATTATAAGGGGGTAGAAAGGAGAAATTAACATAAAAATAACACACAATTAGTACTTGATAACGGTGGACTATATTGAGAATCAGGACAAAAAAAAATAGAAAAATAATGGACAATGAAATAGACATGATGTAATATATTGATGTCAGTAAGATGATGAAAGATGTGTGTCATTTAGTTCTTTTCATTCATGATATTGGGGAGAAGATACTCAAACATAAAATTTGGTTTATAAATTTGTCAGTGTGCTAGATGTTATCAAAATTATTAGAATCAATTTGCAATAATATTTCTCCAACTGACGAATTGATGCACATTTTTGCATTTTCCAATGCGTATAGGGATACCCGGTAGGTTCTGTTTCTCGAAATAGAAAACAGCTTCAGTAGCTAGGGTGGTTAGCCAAATTGAGAATGACAAATCTGTGCGAAATTTGAGATTTCCTCTCACTGTAAAATCTGTGTTTGTTGAATGTCAATGTGAATGCTCAGAATGCTTGCTTTGGAAGCAGATAGAGGCAGATAAAAGGTGACACATAAACAGTGGGAGAAGGAGGGATGTTGAAGACTGTGAAATTATAGCGTTGATATGAGCAATGATATGTTTGTAACATTTGTGAAAAGCTGTGATGTCAAATTTTAGAAACTAATCAAGTACAAAACATGTCAAGTCACAGAGTTAATTGCAAAAGACAAATTATTAGCAATAACTATTCGTTCAGACAGAAAGTAAAATGATAGATTCAAGGCTGAGAAAGTTCATCAGAGAGCACTTATAGGTGTCCCAGATCAAGACCAAAGAACAGGACGGTTGATTTTTTTTGAACAATGATTTAATATTATTCAACTGACGCAATCGTAACAAACACAGTCTGATGGATGAACAGTTGAACTGCCATATTTGACTTTGACTTACTACTTGAAATCCAAATAAATATTTTTAAGATGGATCATATTTCTGTGTTTTGTATAGAAATGTAGACAACACAGCTTTCCAGCTATTGAAGATGCAGTAATGTAATAAGTAAACATTGAAGTTAGAACAATCAACTACCAGACATTCTCAGTCCAGAAATTAGTGCAAAATCAGTCACTATTTTATAAATTATATTGTTCAACTTCTAGAAAAATGACAAAATTTGCACCAATAATTGTAAGTGGAAATTTCTGTTGATGAAAGATGATAGTTATGTTAATATGTATATATGCCTTAAAGTTACAGCATGGCAGGAATTATATAAGTATGCGCATAAGTGTTATGAACAAAGGCTGCACCATTGAGCTATATGGGAAAAGAATTAGATTACTACCAGTAAAATAGAATGGTCTGTTAATAATTAGGCATGATGACATGAGTAGCAGTAAGTTATTATTTTACCAGAACTTTGACAGTCCAACACCACAACTACTTCTAATTTCCCTGATAACCTAGAAGAAGTTTTCTTACCATCATGAAGCCAACTATGTTAGGGACAACGTCAAAAGATCGATGTCGGATAAAAAACTTAATTCCTTTAGTTTTTTTCCAAACCCCCCCCCCCCCTACCCCCCACTGAAACTTAATTGATAAATATTGGTCATGATAATCGGACAGTAGTATGGCATAGCAGTTGGTTGTCGGGTGGGTGTAAAAAGAGTTTACAAATGCACCTCATTTGACGCACAGATTTACACTCGAACCAAACCAATTTTCTGTTTTTTTTCCCTTTTCGGTTATTTCTGTCCATGATTGGATAGAACTACAAATACTCCAAGATTTTTTGACTTCATTAAAAAATAAAATCTTTTTGTAGGATGGAAACTTTTTGAGGTCAAAACCCCCCACCCCCAAACTAAAGGAAATAAGTTTTTTATCCAACATCGATCTTTAGACGTCGTCCCTTAATTATGCAATAAGATGCACACAAAAAGCCAAAATGCAAGCATGCAGTTATATCATGTTTTCTCTGTTACAAGTATGAGCTTGGATGCAAATATGCAGTCATACCAAATTTTCTGACGAGTGATTAGAAAATACAAATTTTGATTTTGCTGTTGCTGTTTTAACATGACATAAATCCATCTAGTCACCTGACAAATGATCTAGTCACCTGACATAAATGACATAGTCACCTGACAAATGACATAGTCATGTGACAAAAGATCTAGTCATTTTACATAATTGATCTAGTCACCTGACATAAATGATCTAGTCACCTGACATAAATGACGTAGTCACATGAAAAAAGATCTAGTCATTTTACATAATTGATCTAGTCACCTTTTCAATTATTAAACTTTAAAATAGTGTTATGAAAGGTGTGTCCCAATGTAGTTTTGTAAATCAGTAAATATGGTACAGACTGCTGACAAGCATCAGAATTTCAATAGTTAGTGGACAAGCAGGTAGAAAGCTTCAAGACATGCAACATGCAATGTATGATGGTGGTGATGTAATGTGATTGTATTCAAGTGAAAAAAAATGTCTATTACAAGGGCCATGAAAATTACGGTGCCATATAATATTACAGGATGTTGAGAGTGGCAAATGAAATTTATCACACAGGGATGCCATTGCATTGTGGGAAAACATGGGATAATGCAATTGACTGGTGAGGTGCCTACAAAGTAAAAGCTATCACACAGGAATGAAATTGCATTGCATTGTGGGATGTTGCAGGAGTAATGTGTCTACACCGTGAAGCTAGCTAACACACTGGGATGCAATTGCATTTGGCTAAAAAAAAAAAAAGTGAAGACATTATGGGATGGTGAATATGACTTATGTGATTGGCTAGTGAAGTCATTTACATAGTGAATCTATGTCATGCAGGAATGCAATATAATTGACCTTAGACGTGAATGGCTACAGATATCTCATTGAGAGCGAAAGAGCCACCTGGCTACTATGTTCCTTTCACTTGTATCCTGTGTTCTAAATACCGGTTTACATCGATACATAGATGAGACCTCGATCGGGAAAACGGTGAAGGTACTCTTAATGAGATTTCGGTGATCATTCGTATCTTACGGTCTATTGTCGACAGTCAAAACATTATGCCTAAACCACTTAAATCTTGAGACAAACTTTTGTGAATTTTGCAAGTCGGTAAAAATTATGAAATTTCGTAGCGTTATAAACTTGGGTTCTAAAGACACAAGCTCATAGCGATTTTCACAAAATTTTGTCAAAAAAGCGGTTTACTGTTCCGTTCAATTACATTAATCATAAATTACACATTTATTCAATTTTAGTAATTTCTGTGAATAAGAATAGGACTTTATAATAAGTGTTTACAATGTGTACTACATATTTTCAATGCTATTCACCATCTTTAATTCGTTGTATTAACGAGACCTCAATATCGTTAAATTAACTTGTGAATTACAACCACATCATAACATAATTTTTCAAACACCCTAGGAACTTCTTTTATTGATCTAAGGAAACAAAATTTGTTTTGGGTTCTCAGATGTTGAAAAAAAAAACGTTGTAAGGTCTGCATCTTTCAAAGAAATATTATTTGGCTTTACTGGCAGTGATTTTTGTCCAATCATAATAATAATCTCAGCAAATAGTTCTAAATTCTGAATTACAGCATTTTTGTATTTGCATACATACAAATGTGAAAAGATGATGAAAGCATGTTATAACTTAAATTACTTATATTTGTGCAGTTACTACGTTTATCGATATTTGGATCCTTCTCACCCCATCCATGATATACTCATAGATTGTTAATATCGTAAAAAACTACGATTACTTCTCTCCAGTCTATGAGTATTACTGGTTTCTCAGTTTCAGGAAAGAGATGAATCCTCCTGAAAACTAAAAACATCTTGGGCTGCTGAGAAAAAACTTGTTAGAATCTGAAAATGAACGAGACTTGGTTTAATGTGTTACGGTACTCCTTAAACCCTCACCAGTATAAGTAGTGATATGTGAACCTGATACATACCTGTAGTTGATGTCACCATCTCCATCCCTGTCAAGTTCAGCAATTAACATTTCTACTTCTTCACCTGACATATCAATACCAGTTTCCTGAGAAGATAGCAGAATGTCATTTGTTGATTGTAATAATTATTAGAGTAAAAATTAGAATTATTGAATAAATCTTAAATTTGTAGTAATAAATGTACATGTACATGCCACGATATATAAGGCCTAGTAGCTCATCTCCAAAAAAAGCACATGTTGCATTTATTGAATACTGAATTATTAAAATATAACCTATTTATGACTATAGATACAGCTCTGCCATTTACATAAGTGCATACTCAATTAATAGAGTAAATACTGGAAATATGTTTTTGGTAATAATGCTATTAACCTTGACTGCAAATCACAGTAATGTACATATGATCTCATTCTCACAAAATCAAAAATATTTATAACTATAATCATTATGCTAAAAAACATTTTAGAGTTAAATAAGTGACAATCTTTTTCCGTTCACTGCGAGATACCATGTGAAAGGTGCGAACTGCATACCTGCAGCAAAAATCAAACGATTTGATTTTAAAATTCAATTTGCTTTTTTTATAGCTCAATGCTAAAATGTCAGTCTTTGGGAGTAGAATATTTATTGCATTGAGATACCCTTACCGGTAGCACATCATTAATCGTGGAAATACACCAAAAATATTCCTGTGCTTTCCAACTCCCATGACATGTTTCACGTCAATTAAGAGCTATGATCCTTTGTTTGTCCTGTTTTTACGTTCGATTTCACAGATAATACTGGATCTTACAGTGAACAGAAAATAATCTATTCCTCCATACCTCAAGGCCTTCCCTAAATTCTTCATATGACACGCTCATACTGCCATCCTTGTCAAACTTGTTAAAGAAATCCACCAGTCTCAGGTTGTTCTTCTGTATATATTTCTGCAGTTTCTGCATGGGATTAACTTTTGCTTTCTTCTTTTTCTCCTCTTCGGAGCCACCATGTTTAACTTTGATATCGGGACGCACTTCTTTCAATTGCATGAATAGCTCATCAAAGTCCTTGTTCACTTGAATGTCCTGCAAAAAAAAACAAAAAACATAAATTCATCAAATTTTGAACACAGATTAAAACATTAATACTTTCTACATAGTGAAATATAAGTATTGTAAACTCATTAATTACTAATTCTCTGAATTTTAATTTCATTATTTCCCTGAAAAAGTGAAATCCTCAATTTAAAATGCATGTGAGCAGGTAAAATTATCATACAATAAATTGTTTCAATGAAATCAATGAAATATCTATTTAATTATAGCCCAGTAAGTACGCTCATAATATCATAATAACATAGTGAATTAAATCTCCAGTGAACATTAATATGTTTACAGTAAGTGATTATTATGGAGAAATGAGAGTCCAAAATCTTGCAATAATGGATTTTCACTTCATTTAGTAACTAATCATGACAGAAAACATGATATGAACTGAACAAAATACGATTCCCAATGTCTATTGAGATATAATGTCATCATTATACTCTCCCACAATGCACTGGCTAGAAAACACAAATATAGGAAATATCTGGTGAGTACCTGTACATATTTTCATTTAGTTTACAATACCAAGGTAGAAAACAGGAATTATTTCATTTTGGTCTATTGAAGCAACACTCTGGTTATACTTACTGAAAAATCTAGTTGTTCTATTGCTGTGTTTGCGTTTTCTTTAACTGCTTTCACGATGCCATAGCAACCAGCAGTTTGCATGGGATTCTTACCGACCTGCCAATGAAACCAAACATTTGTAACTAATTCTGTCAAGATTTACATAAATTTGATACAACGTTACATGAGTATATGGGTGATGGATGGTGTACTGATACAAAATCTGCTGGATTAATTACAGTTAGCACTTTAACAACCATGCTGTTGACAATGTAGAAACTAATTTGCATAGCGGTATGGCAATGTGTTATTGAATAATCATATGCTAATCAAAATAGCTCTGTTGTTTTAGTACTATTCATGAAACTCAATAACTCTCCACAAAGAGACAGTTCTGTAAACATGGAAGCATTAAGATCAAAATACAAAACCAAATTCAATAATTGATTGTTAATGATGGATATCAACACTATATGGATGTGAATACGAGAAAGAATCACCCGAGGTGCCTGTTATCAAAGTCACTGATGCTTTGGAAGATGTAAAAATTGCAACAGCGGACAATGTAAGATGGATGGACAAACTACTCATAATGCTCTACCTGCCAGAGCAACTCAAATGACAGTGGAGTTAAAAAACGAAAATATTTGTCTAAATACATTGTATCAGAGCGCTCTTTAGACGTGTCACTGATGTACAGAACTTTTTCATGTTGCAACTAGTTATGCTCATTCCATGGTGTAACAATGATGCAACAGAAAATCATACATTGATATAGTAATCTTTAAAAACATCTGACATCTTACTACAGGTATGCATTGTAACAACATGATATTCAATTTTTCTAGACGAAATATGTGTAAAAACAAAGGAAATCAGAAATTTTGTATCTACTGTAAAATACTTTAGCTGGAATTAATTTTCACTGGAAAGACTTTTTGGCTGTTTTGTATGGAATTTATTTTCACTGATTTTTGACGAGTTGAATGTAAAATATAGGAAAAAAAGGTATTCGCTGGATTTTATTTTCACTGAATCATTCCTTCAGCGAAAATAGCGAAAATTAATTCCAAGCAAAAATAAAGTATTTTACAGTATTCTTGAAGACCTCTCTCTCTCTCCCTAGCAGTCACCTGGCTGACCCAACTTAAATTTTTGAATTCTATTGTGACTCAATATCTTTACAAAGTCAGTCCTGTAAGAAGGCACACTACATTGTACTGAGATTAGAATGTTATCTATCGGTACTAGAATTTACCTTCAACACTCTTAACGTCTCATTTACTGCAAGTCCTTTTGCTAAAAGTACAGCTCCCTCGGGAGATATTCTGTTATTCCTATGATAGCATAAAAATGGTGATTATAGGTTTTATAGAGTCTAGTATTAAATAACAGCACCACTGTGAGGAGTATATCTACAACAGTGATTATAATATATGTAAACAGGATCCAAAACAGTGTATAAAACTGTGTATACAAGAACACTGTTGTTTACCGTGTCTTCACATGCGAAAAAGAAATATTGTTTGCTTAATACATGTATAAGTCTAGGGTTTATAAAAGACATTCAAAGTTAGGTGTGCTGATAATTATTTTGTCAGACATGTACACGCTGAAAAGCAAGAACTTCCTTTGAAAAAGAATGAAATTCCATCAGAATATTAATAATTTGCACTGTTTTTGTAATAACGTCAACAAATTTCATACCAAATTGAGCAAACAACGTTCAAATGTCTTGGTTTATAAACTGAATATGGTATTTATCCACAGTAATACGCATAAGTGTTGTGACAAAAGGATAAATCTGCAGATTAAAAGTTGTGGTTAAATATACCGGTAGATCAAAATGTGACAGCCTTTGTTGAGTGTTTGTTAATATGCATTTGACATTAACTATCCAAAGTGTAAATTTGCTTACCAGATTTGCCCCATTATAGTTACAATATGGACGAGAACATGTCATTATTAATATTCTTGCTTGAGCAATGTTAAGTAATACATTGAATTCTGATTTATCATGATGTGAACCCTGTTCTTGAAGTGCAAATCAGGGTTTTTTGTTCAACAATGAAACAATGCAATTCACTAATATGCATGTGCATACAATATCGTTTCAATACTGCACATGCCTATTAGCTTTTTTTTAATTTTTCAACTAACAATTTGGTCTGAAGTATGGAGTATTGACAAATTATATGTTTTTGTCTATATTGCATCTTTAAACAGACATTGCTATATGCTTCCAAGAAAGCCAAAATACTGCAGTTACACTTCAAACAGACTGAATTATAAAACCAAGACAAGCATCGAGACATCCATGAAAACAAATTCACAAGTTTAGTTTAAATCAGTTTCAGTGTTGAAATTAAACAATAAATAGTCAATATCAGACGAAAACTGAATTCACGGAATCACAGGGGATCATGATAGTTCTAGTCAAGTTCACATGCTAGGAGTATGTTTGGGAATGAACACGTCAGGCATGGTAGATCTTGAATATACAAGATGTGCAGTGCATTGGTAAGGTGTCTTGTTAATTAACACATGAATAAAACAAGTAAGGCTATAATGGACACACAAGTGGATACACTAGTCTTACGTTAAGTCTAGTTCTTCAAGTGAGTTATTCATTTTCAAGGCTTCCCCAATGGCCAATGCACCTTCATTGCCAAGACCATTCCAGGATAAATCTACCTTCCGCAAACCAATATTGCTCTTAGAAAAAGAAAAAAAATCATGACGCCATTAACAGTCATTGTCAACATAGTTTATATAATAACCAACAAATGTGACAAGTGAACACTTTAAAGTGTGGTGGTTGTCGCTCAGCGCATGTTCGAATTTCATGTAAATAAATAATGTATTTTACATGCGTTGTATACGTCACTATGAGTCCCATATCAAACAGGACGCGGAACGACGACTGTCCTTTAATTTGAAGAAATACAAATACAGTTTAAGTTAAATTTTTCCAAATAATTTTACTTTTCAATAGTAAATGACTGGCAAGTTGACTACTAGTAACTCAGTAATTGCTCTAATAGAACAGTTGTTCTTATGCAAGTGTCCTTTTTTGAAAGTATTATCCAAAATTATGATTATTATGATTTTTAAGTTTGGATTTTAGGGTATTTTGCATTTTTAGAAGTTAGGTTTTGTTTAAACTGATGAAAAGAAATATGGCAAATCAGCAACCATACAAAGAAATTTTAGAAGTTTTGATAAAAAAAAGTAAGATTTGTAATGCTTTGAAATGTTATTCTTTAAAACAATATTTTAATTTTAAATGCACAAAACTTCCCATAGCTGAATCAATCCATGGTTGCTAACCATGATCAACCCAACCATAGTCCTCAAAGTCTATGAATCAAGCACATGAGATATGAACATTGGTTTATATAAAATTAATACTAAAGCACATGTACTCAAAATATTCATAAATCTGTGTGTCACTAGTATGAAGGAAAAGAGTACACTGCTGAACAAGCTGTGGATCGTACTTTCTGTCATTTGAAAATATATCTAGTTATTACATTTGAGCCAGACAGAATGAGTAACAGTATGGCTTATAGAAATGTAAAGATCATTACTGGGTCTTAAAATGACTGTTGTATGGTAATTATATCTGAGAGAAAATGGTGTTTTCTTAACATGAAAGCATTTATTAGAGATGTCTTATACCTACAGTAAGAAGAAATGGTTTTCTGGATGAAATTTCCCTCTGCATTTAATCCATCCAATGTCAAGGTTGTTTCAATTAATATCTGGATAATTATTTTTTTTTTATAATTTAAAGTTTTGAAGTTACACTCTGAGACCATTCCTATAACTTTATTGTGTCTAGGGACTTTTATGTGATATATTTGATGACCTGAATGAAAACGAATTATGAGAAAATGAGCATTCACCCCTTATTTAAATAACTACGGGCCACAGTAATTCAAAATATGCGAATCTCTGTGAATCCACATACACTGAGACACTATTCAAGAACACTGACAACAAAAATTTAAACAAACAATCAAAGAAAGCAGAATTCGGACGTACTGAAATTGGAGGAAGTCAATATCATAAAATATTTCACATCACAGTCCCAAGACCCCAGTAAAACTTCAAAAATAATTTCAGAGTGCAACTTTAAAAAAAAAAATCTTAACTGAAATTCTAAAAACTGTTTTATATTATGAGATATATTTGCTGATAGAAATTGTCGTTGGCAGTGGATGTATTAAATATAACATGCTTTATACACCAGTTAACAGACTCTATTATGAAGTGGATATATAATCATAAAGCTTTGAACTCAGCAAGAATCTGATGCAGGAAAGTATACAGTGGGATATAAAGAAACAGTAAAATTGTCCACAGCTCTACCGGTCAGCAACTTACTCCAATGCCCTTAGCTAATGCCACAGCCCCTTTCCTTCGTATATGGTTCCAGCTTAAATCAAGTTGTCGGATGGTGATGTTTTCAGAAATGGCTGGTCCCAGCAACAGTCCGGCTGCTTCACTGAAACTGTTTCGGCTCAGGTTCATGTTCTCTAGTTTGCTGTTTTGCTGAAATTTAAAGCGTTTGATCATAAAATTACATGGAAAGCATATATGCATATACATGTAGTGATACTAGTAATTACATTACAACTACATTTCCTTTACACATTAGATCAAACAGAGCCACCATAATATAGGATATTGTTAAATATTTTGTTAAAAAAGTGAGAAACATTGACAATGGCATGGTTGACAATAGAATTTGAATATCGAAGAAGAACAAATATAGTTTTAAGAATTGATGGTGTGCAACGCCTAAAATAAAACATGGAAATGCTGTACCAATATAACTTCAGCAAAGCCTTCAGCACTCTTATCACCAAAACCATTACCAGCCAGTGTAACACTGTGTAGATTAACATTCTCTTTCAACATGTCAGCCATAGCTTTAGCACCGTCATCACTCAAACGATTGTCTGAAAGATCCTGCAAACAGAAAGAAACAATTAAACTTTGTATATGATTAAGGACTAGTGCATGAAAATGCCTACTTTAATGGAGTTAAAATATTATTTGTCCGTAAAAGGGGCACTGAATCAAGTCAAAACTACCGTACTTGGGTTTTGATGGGCACATCTCTATGCTTTCCTGCACTCTATTAACCTTTTCACCACCAATTCCCTCTTTTTATTACAAATTCACAAAATACATGTAGTCCTGTTTATAGTCCTCATTTTCCTTCAGAAGATTATAACAAAAATAGTCAAATTTGTTGATAAAAAATGAAAATTGACTCAAATTTTGTCTGTTGGCTCCAAAATTACAGTGTATTTCCAGAAATATTAAAGAATATAAAAACAAGCAGCCAGTCGGCTGAGATAGCTCCGCTGTTAGCAATGCACATTTCAATAAAAAAACAGAAGATATCATTAGAAAATGAACAATATGTATAGTATCAAAGCAATTGGACTTGCGGTTTTTAATAAGAAGTCGAAAATATCACTTTTTACCAAAAATGACAGAAATATTTACCAAAATTAGAGAATTAAAGATATCATTACAAAATGAACAAATCTGAGAGAGGTCCACATGTAGTACTCATATATGTAATATCAAAGCAATTGGACTTGCAGTTTTAAAAGTCGAAAATATCACTTTTTACCAAAAATGACAAAAATATTCACCAAAATTAGAGAATTGGAGATATCATTACAAAATGAACAAATCTGAGAGAGATCCACAAGTAGTACACATATATGTAATATCAAAGCAATTGGACTTGCGGTTTTTAACAAGAAGTTGAAAATATCACTTTTTACCAAAAATGACAAAAATATTCACCAAAATTAGGGATTTGAAGATATCATCATGAAATGAACAAATCTGAGAGAGGTCTACCCAAGGTACATATACCGGTACACCAAGTATCAAAGCATTCAGGCTTGTAGTTTTCAAGAAGAAGTCGAAAAAGTAAAACATTGACACGAACGACGACGGACAATCACTCATATGATAAGCTCCCTTCGACAAAGTCGACAGCTGAGCTAAAAAAGTGCAGACAAATTTGGGCGAGAAGGTCTGGCGATGAAAAGGTTAGAAGCAGGCTTCCATGTCCCTTCGAATTTAACTTTATTTTCTCACCACAAGTGAGCAAGAACCTGAAGGGTCTACATTACTTCAAACAATGTAAAATTTGTGAACAACAAAACAAGATGTTCCTTTAAGTTACATGACTTATATTAAATGTTGACTTACTAATTCAGCTATATAACAGTTCTCCTTTAGCATATCAGCCACTGCCTGCCCACCTTCTGAATCCAACCAATTGTCAGCAAGATTCAATTTTAAAATAGTAGTATTTGCCTAAAGATAAATAGCATTATATATCATTATTATACATCTGTCACCGTAACGCCATAAGTTACAGCGTGCCGTAATTTTGCGGTATTTTACGGGGTATGTTCATCCTACCATATTAGGAAATATGAATTCCAAATATGGAATGATTACGCGTGTAAGCATCCTCTAATAATAAAAACAAACATGGCTGCCACCAGAACGTGACCGGACTCCACACAAAGAAGTTCGCTGATTCTGTTCTAATCATTATGAATTTCGCCATTCCCACCTCAGACAGTACGCCGTTCATCGACCTCCGCTACACCAAACTATAGGAATTTTAACTTACAACAAGAGTTATGGCTATAGCTCTAGCTCCAGCAGGACCAAGACCATGATGTTTCATAGTAAGCTCAGAATCTACAATATGCCTCAGGAAGTATGAGACAGGAACAACACCATTCATCTTACATGCTTCTTTATACGTCGTTCTACCAGATGCATCATATGATTCCTTGGTTTCTGTACGGGTAAACCGACAAAAGCAATGAAATAAAGCTAATCTACTAGTATTATCCATATAAAAATATGTGTGGAGTGCTTAAAAAATGATCAAAAAAAGATATGAACAACAAAAATGTTTAATAATATTGAGAATCAAAAATACACAAAAAGTCAGAAACACTAAAATTACTGAAAAACAAAGTGACATAAGCATTTCCATGATCATGTATAGTGCTAAAACATTAGATTAAAGTGTGTACCCGGAAAAAAAATTACCTAGCCTCCCCCCAAATCCATGTAAAGTAGTTTGGCCCATTCATGCAAGACTGTATGGGTCATACCAAGTTACAGGGAAGGCCGGGGAGGTAAAGTATCCAATCTGTTCAAAGAAAAGATTACCACGTTAAATATATTAAACATTCCCAGAAACAAGCACAATAAGAGTAGATGTTTAACAAAAGCATGCACAGCACACAGAGTGATTTTAAAAAATGTTTAAAAAAATATAATTTCTAAAAGTCTTACTTCTCCTAGAGGTTCCTGCAAGGGAGCCAAATAAAAAATAGCAGATAGTAAAATAATATTAAAGTGATTGCGTTTCTTCTATTACATCAAGCTATGATGAATCACATGGCTGCAATGTGGATGTTAATATAAGCATTTGTACTTGTCAATATACAGTCAAACCTGTGTATAGCGACCACCCAAGAAACTTCATTACAATGGTTTTTCATAGAGAGGTGGTCTTTTACACGGATGAAGGTTAGATTATTATTTTTTTATGGATCCACAACTGATACGTTTGATATAATATTTGACTGGAAAATAATTTGAAGGTATTTGAGATAATCAAAATCAAATAAGTTTAACTCAAGGGAATTCAAACTTGTTTTATAAGCAGAAGGCTATTAAATGTGAATCTGAAAAAATATTGCTGAAAAGGTGGTCACTATAGGCTGGTGTTTTTATATAGAGGTGCAGTGACTAACACAGGTTTGACTGTAGTAGCAGCATAAGCAGTTCGCCAGTGTTTGAAATAACTATTAAGTAAAATACATGATGGAACATTGACTAAGATGTGAAGTTTATCATTAATTGCATAGTTCTATGAAATTAAGCTTGAATTCTAAAAACATTCCTAAGGTTTATTGTGATCTTTATTGGGACTAGTACATGAAATATATAATGGTACAAATAATTTGTGAATTGTGGAAAATATTTGAGAAATCGCAGTAATTCCGAATGAATGTGTATCTTTATGAATCCATGAACACATATATTTCAAACAATCAAATTGGAAGTCAAAACAATCGTCAAAATCGTTGAAAATGGAATGTAGTTTATTTGCTGCAATTTGCATTAACTTAGGCATTACAATTTTTCACGTCATAGCTATCATTTGACTGTACTTTATTTTAGCGATAGTAGTCACACAGAAGTTTATGGGGTATATATTCTTCAAGAGTACTGTATTTATCTGAATTTTGAATTTCTGATTGCATCTAAATTATTCTAACAAAAAACTTGCATTATACTGGTATATTTTTTTTGAATGTCCATCTTATTTTTTGGCAGAATTGCATGCTTTCTACAAAACTTCATCAGACCGACACCGTCATTGTGCGCGTGAAATTCTCGCTAAACTATTTCACATCGCACAATATATACAATATACCACATTTGCTCTATTTGAAACACATCTGTAATGGAGCGCACCTACATGCACATCAAACTGCATGCTGGTTGATTACAATGACTTATTTTGACTACAGACTCACATTTGTCATTTACCTAAGAACATCTCACTTCTTTGCATATTACCGGTATTGTTTCAGTTATTGGTTTTTATATTAATAACACATAATTATGAAAGCTATACTTGAGTGCTTGGATATTTTGGAATACTTTGCTAACAGTGCTGACAATTTTTGCATACTGTAACCATTGATATATATTATGTTTTTGCTAGTTGCTATGCAACTGTGTCAAAACACATGCATGCTGATCACTCATAATATCACAGTTTTGTCTTGCATAATTAATGAGGAAGTTGTCGCAATTTATCACTATTTTCATATAATTGTTTAGTTTTTCTCATCCACAGAGTAAACTGACTGCTGATTGGACATGATCAACTAACAATCATCCATAGTTACACGTACAAGGTCAACACTACATGCAGTATAAGCAAATACAAGATAGAAAACTTCTAAATAGATACTGCAACTTGAAGAACTTGGGACAAAATACACCAGTTGACATTGGTGGCAGACAGAAGGAGTAAAAAAAGACGGTGTTTATTTGGGACATTGAGATTATTTGTTAGTAGTTGTTTACACACCAGGCATTGTGTTTGTCATGTGTCTATGTACGTGTACGTTGAAGTTCCAGTGAACAATAAGGCGCAACAATACCAATCAATACGAGGTCAACAATTGAGAGTCTCCTATAATAACATGCACATAAACACTGAACATGCATCATAAATAGAGTGAAAATTCGTGTGCGAGGGGAAGAATTCTCCATGACAATGATCGCTATTGTCCCTATATAACATGCACAGAAGACAATGCTGCGGTTCAGCTATTGTGTTGAAAATGAAATGGTATACGATGAGAAGTCATTAAAGATGAGTAACAGCCACTGGATATTTTGCTTGTTCTTGCCGCTGAATTTGAAATTGTCATCTAAAAACAATTTCCAAAGATGCCAAAACACTGCTTGTTCAGTTTTAATAACTGTTTTATTGAATGTCAGAATGTTTCAGACATCCTTCAAAGTGTGTTTCCTTTTTTTCAAACCACTTAGATGATTGCAACTTTCCTAAATAAAAAAAAAAGTCAAGAACTTTTCAAGAAAAACAAATTCCATTTGTCAGTGTCATAAGAAAGCTGGTTATATCTATAAACACATATGGGTTACATACACAAAATGTGAAAATAGTTAACCAAAACCACAACTATCTAAGCCAAAAAGTGATTTGTTTCATGTCGGTTTTTTGCCAAAATATTGAAAAAAAAACTATTACACCAAATATAATCAACTGATCACTTATTTTTAAAAAGATAATTGATGCCATATTCAGAACATATGAAATACATTTAATTTTTCATCATTTTTAATTTATATATACCTTCAACTTCAAGGTCCGTGTCCCAGCCGTTTTCACTCAGTATGTCCTGTTCTGATGTAGCTCTCGTCCTTGTGTCATCGTCGCTTTCAATATTCTCTTTCTCAGATCGACTGGAAATTTTGCTATCAGGCCTCTTGCCAGAACCGGTTCGACTGCTTGGTCTGCTGATTGTCTATTGGAATACAATTGGGTATTTTCATCACATTGGTAGGTCTTGTCAATATGTCGGATTAAAAATGCTGAGCATCAGTGACTCAGTTATAAAACCATACACTATTTGATGTACGTGATATATACTGTGCAGGTAAAAAAATATGACCAAAAACGACCGCGTGTTTTGTTTTTAATAAGATTGCTATTAAATTCAACACAATATGTAGATGTGAATAAACTAGGTATATTTTTTTTCCTCCATTAAAAATTTAATCTGCATTAACTGTACAAGTTTTTGAAATGCAATTGGGTCTAACAGGACTGATTTTGTATTTTTATAGATCAAAATGGAATCCCCAAATATCAAGGTGAGTCTCCTTGTTGAGAGCTGGGGAGGTCATTTTTCAAGAAAAAAATAAAATTGTATGTGACTGGAGGCACAAATAAAGATGTTGTGGCCCCTGATTTCATTATTTTGTTTGTATTATTTATAATAATTTTATCGTAATCATATTTACTTGAAAAGTACAATAAAGGATGCTCTTGAAATAACAAATACTGTAGAATACTTTATTTTCGCTTGGAATTTATTTTCGCTATTTTCGCTGAAGGGAAGATTCCGTGAAAATAAAATCCAGCGAATATACTTTTTTTCTTATATTTCACATTAAACTCATCAAAAATCAGTGAAAATAAATTCTATACAAAACGCCCAAAAAGCCTTTTCAGCGAAAATTAATTCCAGCGAAAATAAAGTATTCCATAGAAGTCATGAATAAAAAAATACAAGAGCAAAAAAGCAAAAATAAAAATAAAGTGAAATATTTATTATGAGGCAGCTGGTCATTTTTCAATGTTGAAATACTTATGTATTCATTTTGCGATTTTTCTTTTTAACTGTCAAAATTATTCAACATTCCTACAACAATTTGTTCACCTGTAGTGTTTAGCAAAGTTTATAAAATGTGCAAACGAATTAGCACAAATGGTTGTGAAAATCTTTGTGTGTCGGTGGCATGTCATATTACTGTTATTTTAAAAATTTTATTACATAACAGCCCAAAATGATTTGTTAACTTTCATTATGGTGTAATAAATGAAATTATTATTATTAATATTATTATCGGCTTAGAGGGAACACTGGTGCCATGATCATGCTAACCAATGACACATTCTACTTGTTAGTACATGTGCTTGTACATAGATTAGAACAGAGACAGTCTAACTGCTTGTCACACCTCTTAATGTAATGTCATAGTATTCACTCATTAGTCACTTCATTAGTGAAGTGTTACATACATTCATTGTACTGTGAAAAGTGATAATGAAGATAAAAAACTAAAACTAATGGACCTTGTAGAAAACAATATGTACCGGTAATTAATAAAAACTATACATATACTGCCTGAAGCACTGAAGCGAAGAGGTTTCAGAAATATATTACTCATTTATATTGCGAGGAGTGACTGACCCCCAATGCAGTCACTGGTATTATAACAACCTGTGGATATATACTCTAAAATTATTCTATAACATAGAAAAGGGGAAACGTGCAATGCTCAAAAGCATACAGGCGTGTGCTAATTAAATTACATTACTCCTCGCACAGTATTCCACCATCCCTTAGGATGAACGGAAATTCCACATAATTTTTTTTGCCACAAATAGCATTTATACTATACATACTCACTGCAGTCATCTGAATTGTTGCCTAGATAAAACTGGCATATTGGAAGTGGTAGGGCAATTCCACTTTTAAGACTTCAAATCGGCATAGTGATATCATTCAAAAGGGGAACATTTTATTCATCATTCAGTATATTTTCTAACATTTTTGAGCTTCATAGCAGCAGATTTATAGGTGAATAATGCATATCTAAATTCATTCAAGAAACAGAAAAATAGCCACTATTTAAAAAACGAGTCGATTATTTAAGCCTTTTTTTTTAATTTGAATGCTTTATTATTTTCTAAAACGGGAAAAACGATTACTGCACAAATGGAGGGACCGTGTCATGTATTCATGGTTATTCCGAAGTGAAGGATAGTCAAGGCAGCATATTCTGATTGTCGGAAAGAGCACTCAACCGTATCCAATTCATTTTCAATTATTAACAGCAAGCAAATCTAATGTGTTTTATAGCTCAACAATTTTAACACTACAGTCCAACTTATATGAAAATTCACTGGTCGCGGTAATTCAGGGAGTGGAAAAAGAATTGTGATGATGCTGTTGTTGTTGTTGTTTTGATGGCTAGAAAACAAATCAGCTGTAGCAATAGTTTTTTTTAAAGTTCGACTTCTGTTTATATTTAACAATTATCATACTTGTTCGTTATTATTTTTGAAACTACAGTCTTAACAAATATCTATTTTGATTGACAAAATTGAAAACGTTTACTTCAAGCATGCTTCAACATTAACTGACAGTCTGCTGATTTAACAAAATTATATTATAAATAAATTTGTGCCAACCTTTTTGTTTTCGGTGAGACTACCACGACTTTTAGCACGACTTGGTGCTCGACTACCAAGGGCACTGCCTCTCCGACTATGTGATTTTTCATCTTTTTCGGCGTCCAGTCTTGATGCGGCCCGGGAAAGAGCTTCTTCTGAAGTCGGAGTCTGTTCTCGGCCCATTTTGCCGAGCTCGAATATGATCACTTCCAAGATGGCGTTGTGTATTTTGGGGAGTTGCTATGGTCTTCATTTACATATCAGATTGGAAACGCTGAGCTTGATCATAACAGCGCCCTCTCTCATCAGCATGTGGATATGTACGATGTGTGCATCGCGATTGTCCCGCTTTTGTTGAATTTAATTATTCAAATCGATTTGGGTCGACCAAGACGTCGTTTTAATTTATATAATATGATATTATATGTTTATTACTCACAAGAAATATGAATTTAGCATTCACAACTCGCGTTCGTTTTCAAGGTGTCGAGCCCACCATATATATATATACTATGACACTTTTCATGAAAGCGCCCGTAAGTCTTGTCCTTAATTGTGATTAATATATTGCTTACAATATAGGTTTAAGATCGTCATTACTGTTGTGTAGACTACAATGCATACATTATTTGATATTAATTGCGAATATTATTGTGGTTATCGACAGGGGCGTCGATCCATTCTGAAAAGTGAGGGGGACACTTTTGTGTCCGCGTAAACGGCCAATGTCCGCGCTTGCGCGAACAGGGGGGCGTCTGAGAAGGAGGGACTGCCCTATGCTCCGACATCTCTATGTTCCGACACCACTATGTTCCGACACCCCTATGTTCCGACACACAGTATACTTGTGTCAAACTTAATCTGACTAGCCGTGCGTGACCTTTTACTACCTAGATCGATAATTATCGGAGAATTATTTTACCTTTTTTATGAAAGTTGTACTTCGATATTCATCAGTCGCGGAATTGCAAGGTTGCCGTTTACAACCGGTAGCACCTTTCCAAGTTTATCTACATGTTAATTAAAATCATTTATTTATTTATTATTATTATTTATTTATTTATTTATTAT